GAAGCCTTAGATTTCACTACGCTCACCCCAGTTAGTAACATTCCACTATGGTTTTTTCCAGAGGCAAAGACAGATTTTAGTATCATGGAAAAGAAAAAGGAATGGAGATTGGAGGAAGTGGGAGTTAAAACAAGCATTTATCTAAGAAACAGTTATTATAATTATCTCAAAATTTATACAGATGGATCCAAGAACAAACAGGAATGTGTGGGAATTGGAATACATATCCCAGAATTTAAAATTAATATTTCCAAAAGATTATCTGATCAGTTATCTGTATATACGGCAGAAATTGTGGCAGTCATCATTGCATTACATTGGGTTGAAGAGATCAGACCTGATAGGGTGATATTATGCACAGACTCCTTAGCTGTCATAAAAAGCATTCAGTCAATGACATCTGTCAGAGAAGATTTACTGATAGAACTCTATCACAGTTTGTTAAGATTACATAGAGGTGGTATAGTTTTGTTGGGTGCCAGCACATGAGGGAGTGAAAGGGAATGAAAGTGCAGATAAATTAGCAAAAGAGGCATTGCAAAAAGAAATATAAGTTCCAATACCACTTGGAAGAGGTGAGGGAAAAGCAGTAGTTAAGAAGAAAGGCATTGAAATATGGCAGAAATGGTGGGAGGAAGACAAGAAAGGAAGGGGATATTATAAAATACAAAAGTCTGTTAGCATTAAAAATGATAGAGAAAGGAATAGGCTGGAAGAAATTTTAATAACAAGACTGAGAGTGGATTACAGAAACAGAGAGCTAATCAGAATGAGAAACAGAAAGCTGAGAATATAGAGAAAGTACAAGAAAATGACTGGAAAGTTATAATTGAGTTTAACAAGGATGGTGGGCATTATCACCCAATCAAACTTACCAGGGCGATTGACAAGGAGATTGGTAAAATTTAAATTTGCAAGATTTATGAACAATAAAAGAATACTGATACATGCAAGCAGAAAACAACAACAAGACAAGGTCCTCAGTATGTCCTCACTTCAAGGAGAAAGGATGAAGGCTCACATCCCGGGAGCAATGACAAAAGTGAGAGGAGTCATCTCAGGAGTTCCATTGAGTATGTCAATGGAAGATGTTAAAAATGAGATCCAGGGAGGCAAAGTAGTTGAAGCTACACGGTTAAAAACTAAACGAGACGGATTATTAAAAGAAACGTTATCTGTGGTAATGCAATTTGAAAGAATCCTCCCCAAATCAGTGCAAAAGGGATATATGAATTAAAGCATGAGAGAGTACATCCCTAAACCTCTCAGATGTTACAAATGCCAAAGAATGGGGCATACGGCACAGCAGTGCAAATGAAAGCTAAGGTGTGCTAGATGCGGGGGTCAACATGAGTATGGTAATTGTGAAAAGTATGCAAAGGTTAGGTGCTGTAACTGTGGATGAGAGCACAGTGCAGCGTTTGGAGGATGTGAAGTACAGCGAGAAGCCAGAGAAGTCCAGAAGGTTAGGTTTTTGAATAAAGTATCATATGCAGAAGCATTAAAGAAAGAGAAACCGAATCAATTGACAAAAACTCCAGTGGAATGGTCCAAAGAAACATAACATCAGTTAATCAAACACAAATCCAGATTCCAAGTCATATGCAGAATGGATGTGAGCACAAATGTAAAGTTGATGATGATACTTTAGTAGTGAAGAAAGTGAACTTTGTGGGATTCATTTGTCACACTATCAATGTTGCAACGCAGCTAAAAAAGAAAAGTGAGAGAATTAAGGCTACTGTAGAGGCAGCAGGAAAATTCCTTGACATGAGAAACATTAAAGCAGATCAGATACATGCATTGTTGACAGAAACTGAAAATGGAGGAAATACAAAAATGTATGAATGAAAAATAAATGAAAAAATTATAGTACTACATATACTACAGTGGAATGCCAGAAGCCTTATAGCTAACGGTCAAGAATTTAAAAAGTACATTCATGAATTAGATGTTGTTCCTGATGTAGTATGTGTACAAGAAACTTGGTTACGAGCTCAAGTAGATTTTGTGATTCCAGGGTTTAATTATATAAGACAAAACAAGAGAATGTTATGGAATATCAAAGGAAAAGGGCAATGGCACGTAGGACAATTAAGTATACCAAAAAGAGGAGTTGGAGAGAGTTCTGTACCACCATAGGTAGAGGAGTTAAATTAGGGGATATATGGTCTATGTTTAAGAGAATGAGTGGGAAAAGGAAAGCTGTTAAAATTCCAGCTTTGATTGATGGGGAAAAGGTGACAGTGTCTGACAAAGAAAAGGCAGAGGTGTTGGGAAAGACATTTATGTCAGTGTATAGTGGTGACCACCTTATGGATAAGCAGCTAAAAGATATTGCACTCAGAGAGGATAAGGATGTGAAGCTGAAGAGGGAGGATGGTATATCAACATTAGATGTGGATTTTACAATATCTGAACTCAACATAGCTCTGCTAGGCACTGGATATACAAGTCCAGGTCAAGATCAATTACATTATGTCATGTTTCGACAGTTGCCAATAGAATAATTTAAGCTAGTGTTAAGACTCTTCAATAAAATTTGGAAGGATGGAATGATACCGAGTTGTTGGAAAAGTGCAGTCATTATACCATTTAACAAACCTGGTAAAGACCCAACTAATCCAGGTAATTATAGGCCTATAGCACTAACATCCCATTTATGCAAATGGCTGGAGAGGATAATAGTTTGTAGGATATCGCATGTACTAGAACAGAGAGGATTACTAACTAACATACAAAGTGGATTTCGAAAAGGACATTCCACAACAGATGCTTTAGTACGAGTAAGCAATGAGGTGCAGAAGGCATTGAAAATGAAAGAGCTCATGACAATAGTATATTTTGACATAGAGAAAGCATATGATAGTATGTGGAGGGATGGATTGCTTATTAAACTAAGTAGAATGGGTTTTGGTGGAAGGATGTATAATTGGATAATGGACTTTTTAACAAACAGGAGAATTAGAGTGAAAGTTGGATCAGAGGTTTCCATGGAGTTTCATGTAAACAATGGTATTCCTCAGGGGAGCGCAATCAGCCCGATATTATTCAACATTATGATAAATTACATGTTTTCAGATTTAGGTGAACACATCAAATCAGCGTTATATGCGGATGATGGGGCCATATGGATGAGAGGAAGGAATGTGGCATACGTGACAGAGAATATAAGGAAGGCAATAGGGAAAGTAGAAAAATGGTCATATGAGTGGGGGTTTAAGATACCAACAAGCAAATCCTGTTACATGATGTTCACAAAAAAGCGCAAGTGTCATGTTGAAAAGCTAACATTATATCAGCAGCCAATGGAGAAAGTAAATGAATTTAAGTACCTGGGTTTATGGTTTGATAGTAAATATACATGGAAAACACACATAAAGCACTTAGAAACTAAATGCAAAAAAGTTATTAATCTAATAAGAGCTGTGGCTGGAAGTGACTGGGGTGCAGATAAACATTCACTAATTTACATATATAGAGCCTGCATGAGGTCAGCAATAGATTATGGTTGTATAGTCAAAAACATTATTTGAAAAAGTTAATAGATTACAGTATAGAGCATTACGTGTTTGCATTGGAGCTATTAAGTCAACTCCCATTAACGCAATACTCATAGAAACAGGTGAGTTATTGGATACGACTGAAAGGAAGTGGGAAAGAAAACCCTACAAAGGAGATAATACAGGATTGTTGGGAGCATTCCAAATTTCAGGGGCATGGGTTTGGATGGAACGGAGAAAAGAGAGTGAGGGAATATGGAATGGAAGCCTTAGATTTCACTACGCTCACCCCAGTTAGTAACATTCCACTATGGTTTTTTCCAGAGGCAAAGACAGATTTTAGTATCATGGAAAAGAAAAAGGAATGGAGATTGGAGGAAGTGGGAGTTAAAACAAGCATTTATCTAAGAAACAGTTATTATAATTATCTCAAAATTTATACAGATGGATCCAAGAACAAACAGGAATGTGTGGGAATTGGAATACATATCCCAGAATTTAAAATTAATATTTCCAAAAGATTATCTGATCAGTTATCTGTATATACGGCAGAAATTGTGGCAGTCATCATTGCATTACATTGGGTTGAAGAGATCAGACCTGATAGGGTGATATTATGCACAGACTCCTTAGCTGTCATAAAAAGCATTCAGTCAATGACATCTGTCAGAGAAGATTTACTGATAGAACTCTATCACAGTTTGTTAAGATTACATAGAGGTGGTATAGTTTTGTTGGGTGCCAGCACATGAGGGAGTGAAAGGGAATGAAAGTGCAGATAAATTAGCAAAAGAGGCATTGCAAAAAGAAATATAAGTTCCAATACCACTTGGAAGAGGTGAGGGAAAAGCAGTAGTTAAGAAGAAAGGCATTGAAATATGGCAGAAATGGTGGGAGGAAGACAAGAAAGGAAGGGGATATTATAAAATACAAAAGTCTGTTAGCATTACAAATTATAGAGAAAGGAATAGGCGGGAAGAAATTTTAATAAGACTGAGAGTGGATCACACAGGACTGAATAGCACCTTGTTTTTAATGGGGAAAAAGAATAATGAGAATTGTGATAACTGTGGGGTTAAAGAAAATTCTGAGCATGTCATACTACACTGTATAATATATGAGGTGGAAAGACGGGTGTTTCAAGATAGGGTTCAGGTGGCAGGGCGGGAGTGGAGTAGAGACCTGCACTCCCGCGGGAGTACCGCGGGACCCACGGGACCCAACGCAACAGGGTGCGGCGCGGGACAACTCTTGATGGGCGATGCGGGTGCGGGCGGGAAGAGACTCGTGTGTGTGTGCGGGATGCGGGAGAATAAAAAGCCCACGCTTGCTTTTCTGTTAAAAATAACAGTGGTTTGTTAATGATGATGCTTAGCCTAAATAACAAATATTTTATCTAGAGCGTTTATGCTGGGATGTTGTGGAGCTTAGGAGATGTTACAGAACCATTTCATGTAAAAGTTGGTTCGCAACCCGCCATAAAACCAAAAGAAGAAGAAGACAGGTGCGCGAGCGGACGGGGAGTGGCTATGCATGCAGGTGAACGGGAAGGAGGAAGACGGCCTGAGAGGCACGGTAAGAGGAGAAGATCCTTGAACATCTTAAACCCTTAATTATGACTTAATTTGAAAGAAGGACTTCAGGATGGTGAATTCGGGTGAGTTGGACTTTATTTACATAACTAGAGTGTGCATTTCATGGGGTGGGAGGGAGTATATGAACAGGCTCGCGAACGTGGTCTGGGTGTGGTCATGTTTACCTTGATAATACATCACAGCATTATGTGTTGCCCTAAATCCCTCGCTGTCGTATAAATGTCTCGCTGAATGTAATCTAGTTCTCTAATGAGTTAATGGATTTATGCTAGATACATAGCTACATCTCAGCTAAGTATTTGTTATATATGTCTTCTGTGATATTAATAAGATTTTTTAATGAAAATGTTATAAAAAGGGATAGTTCACTCATTTACTCACCCTCACCAGACTAGTATGACTTTTGTTCTTCTGTGGCGCACAAAAGACATTTTGAAGAATATATTTACCATGTAGTAGCCTATCAATGTTGACTGAAAATATCGAGCATTTAACTGAATGCAGGAACACCATGAAAGTAACGTTAGCCAATGCATGTCTTCTGAAGCCATACATAGCTTTGTGTGAGAAACAGACATTTACGTTCTTTTAACGTTCATTTACGTTCAGTCTTGACATTCGACCGAACTGTTTTTGGAATATTTGGACGTAGCAGTGTTCAGTTCGCGAGCGAACAATTCGTTTGAATCGGATCTTTACAATTGTTCCGTTGAATTCCGAAACCAAAATTTTATCGGCAATAAAATCTGATAATCGTATCTTATTCTAATGCTTGTCTAATATAAAGCACGCGCATTCAACAAAAGTAAACAAACAAGCTATTGTCTCTTTTAACCTTAAGGCGCGATTTCTAATCATATCATCAATACGATTGGCTCTTCTAATTGCATGGCGGTGTCGTTAATGAATTTCATCGCTATTGATCCCTATTGATGATGATTGACATGTTCGATCACCATTTATTTGTCATTTATGGCCCGGTTTCACAGACGGGACTTGGCTTAAGCCAGGACTATAGGCCCTAGTTAAATTAAGATATTTAAGCAGCTTTCATAAAAAATGCCTTAGAAGAAAACGTTGCATGTGTGCATCTTGAGACAGAACACACTAACATATTTTAAGACTGTCAGAGCAAGATATTTTCAGTTGAGGCTGCTCAAACATACATTTTAGTCTGGAACTAGCCTTAAAGGGTTAGTTCACCCAAAAATGAAAATTCTGTCATTAATTACTCACCCTCATGTTGTTCCAAACCCATAAGACCTTTGTTCATCTTCGGAACACAATTTAAGATATTTTTGATGAAATATGATGGCTTTCTGACCCTCCCATAGACAGCAAGGGAACTACCACGTTCAAGGTTCAGAAAAGTACCAAGATGATCGACAAAGTAGTCCATGTGACTTCAGTGGTTCAACTGTAATGTTACGAAGCTATGAGAACACTTCTTTGTGAAAAGAAAACAAAAATAAAGACTTTATTCCACATTTATTCTACTGCGTTACTTTTCTGGACCTTGAACATGGTAGTTCCCTTGCTGTCTATGGGAGGGTCAGAGAGCCCACAGATTTCATCAAAAATATCTTAAATTGGGTTCTGAAGATGAACGAAGGTTTTATGGGTTTGACCCCTTTAAGCCTTTGTCTTTTGAAACCAATGACCAAAATGTAGTAATTGTACCATAGAAGAAAAAGGTCATACAGGTTTACAACTACATGAGGGTTAGAAAATGGTAAGTAATCTTACTTGAATTGTGCAATGCAGTGAGTATTTCTGTGGGGATTTAATCTTACTGTTATCCCTCAATGTAATGGCCTGGTAGAAAATACACAGTCCACAAAAGCTCTATAATAAATATTTTATTAATTCATTTAGTTCATTCATTACTAGCTCTAAAATATTTCTTTAGCTAAAATTGATCTTTGAATTATTTAAAATGGTTTTGAAAAATGCAATTGTAACAAATGCATGGAAGTATCATGCACAAGTCGTGGAAATTCATTGGAAAAAGTGGGAGCCCTGTGGGACATGATGAAAAATAACTAAGTGTAAGGAAATAATTCTGAAAAAAAAATCCCGATGAAAAAATACAGTGTTTGTGTGTGTGTGTGTGTGTGTGTGTGTGTGTGTGTGTGTACAATTATCATTGTGTTTGTCTATTTCCTCCATTATATCTGACAGTCCCTCATCACCTCATAACAGCTTTCTTTTAGTGAAATCATGGCTCATGAAAAATGATTGTATGTAGTCTGAAGTTCATCTGGATTTCATGGCGCACATAATTCCTTGACTCATTTCCTTTTTTTTATTTTTTTTTTATCTGGTGTCTGACCCTTCGTCTTCAATGTTTCTGTGTTTATGGTTGATATTGTGTGTGTTTCTTGTAGGCCTTTGTTGTGGCAGTCTGAAGGATGATAAGATCCTGATGAAGATGGGTTTGGGGCTGGTGCTGGTGGGTCATGTGAACTTCTTGTTGGGGGCACTGGTACATGGAGTTGTGCTCAGACACATAAAAGTGTTCACCTGGAACAAGAAACTCGTCTACCCCATCTCCAATGTCATCGCTCTTGTGGCAGGACTTATGGTTTGTCTGTCTACGAAAGTGTAATGTATTTCTGTTTGTGATCATGATTGAGTGACGTGGCGTTTGAGGCATAATGCATAGTAGTTAAAATTAATAAGCAGTTAATAATAAGCAGGTGTGTTAGTTAAAACTGCAAACTCACCTTTTCCACTGAATGAGTCCACACTGTAATTTATACATCTGACCATGTTATAACCTACAGGCAATTATTGGTGGAATCTCAGCTATTGTTCTCTCAAAGAACAAGAAAAACCAGCTGCTGGTGAGTAGACACAAGCACACAATACTGTCCTTTTTGTAATGATTCCATTCGCTCTTTGTGTTTTTGCTATTTATTTGCTGCCACTGCAAAACTTGCACTTCAAATTCTATAGAATAAAATACGGTGTTCATGTATTATTGATTTCTTAATGCATTTTATCCTTGTTGCAGAGTTGGTTTCTACTAATTGTGAGTGTCTTGGCTGTTCTCTTGGGTGCCGCCTCTGCAGTGGGAATCACTGTTGCCACAGTGAGGGCCATAATGTGGGAAGGACACACTCTGTTTGCCCACTGCGACCTGCCTGCCAACATGACCTACTACAGCATCACAAATGAATGCCCCTTTGACCCCACACGCATCTATGTGAGTCAGTGAATCTCCAGTCTGGTGGATCCTAGTGTAATCAAATACAAATGAATGATATGAGCCTCATAAATGCCTTTTTAAGAGGCTTTTTTTTTTTTTTTTTTAAAGTTGAGATGCATTTTTCACCAAAACTGTAGCAACTTAAGCCATAGTATGAACCAGGGGCCTTATTTATAAAACACAAATATGATTGTATGATCCTAAATTCCATGGATTTCATCATATGTCAAAAGTGAGGAACAAATATATATATTTGTACTTAAATTTATTTATTTATGTGGATATTCTGTAGGTGGAGTTGCTGCACTTTTTAATATTACACTCTAATTTTGGATGAACTGTGATTTTATAAGGAAGGATGCATTTGGGAGCAATTTTGTGTGTGTACAGACAATTTATAAATTGTTCTTACAACAATTTCTAAAAATGTTCCTATTTTAACATTTAGGATAATTTTACCAACACCTTTAAATGAGGCTCCAGGGTTCCTATGGTCATGGAAATGTATTTATTTTCTTTAAAATATTTAATTACCTACAATTGCTCTCTTATTAAAAATGAAATGTAAAAATCCAGTAATCTCAAATGCATGTACGTGTCATACAAAAGTCATGGAAATTCATTGGTAAAAAGCAGTGGAAGCCCTGTGGGACATGATGCAAAATATGCAAGTGAAAGGAAATACTAAAATAATGAAACAAAAAATATATTCCTCTCTCCAGGGTACTACATTAATCCTATGGTTTCCATTGATTCTGATGTCAGTGGTGGAGGTTGTGTTCTCCTGCCGCTGTTTCTTGGCTTGCACGTCTTTCCTCCGTTTGCACTGCCCATGGAGGAGAAATGTCAGGGTAAATAGACCTACATGCAGTGACTATGTACTGTTTTTTTTATTTTTATCATTTTTTTATACTTGTTCTTGCTATGCAGCATAAATGTAGTGTTAAAAGGTTGACTTACTGTATTTTTTAATTGAGTGCATTCAAGATACAAATCAGAATTTGATTTGAAATCATTTTAGGTTTGAGGTTATGTTTAAAGGGTAATTTTGCATGTCAGTTCCACATTATACCTGATAAACATTTTGTGTTCTCTGAATGCAATGTGAATGTTTGGGTTCAGGTGCGTGTCCAGCTGCCAGAAGAAACCGCACTTCCACCAGGAGACGATCCAAACGAGGAGGAGGCTACAGAACAGAACGACCTACTTGACAAAGACACAGTTGCTGTGGAGACTAGTGATTGGCTATAATTCATAAGTATACATCGCTCGGAGTTGCTGTATGACAGTGGAGCAAGAAATACCAAGTGCCAATGCAAATAAAAGCATGCTGCCCACTACATGCTGCTATTGATTTCTCCATGTACACCATGTGCACCATGTTTATATATTAACATCATTAACGTGTGATATGCTTGTTTTATGTTTGTTACATATTTTCTGCACTGATTGGATTCCTTGTTACAGTACATTTAAATAAAGTATTTTTCTATTTAAAACTGAGCTTCTGAAATTGCTCTAAATAGGATTGACGGGTCAAATATATGTATGCCTGAAATATCTTGTCTATTGTCCTCTTTTCTACTCATTTTTATTCCTCACATGTGTTTAGACACTAGAAAATTTGTTTAGAATATTTGGATAAGGTATTTGTTTCGTTTTCTCAAAATCTGAGCAAGTCCTTGGCTAAAAGCAGCTTTAATTTTTTTGTAAACTTAGAAATATCAGGTTCAAAATTCTTCTTGTTACATTGACTTCTGATAAGTCAAGCAACAGTTTTTTTTACCTTGAAATATCAGTTTCATGATTTTTTTTATTTATTTTTTTATGTGTAAACACCAAAGTTAGTGTTTACAGGAAGATGTAGATATTTAACAGAATTGGTCACTGAATCTGAAAGCAATTTGTCAAAACAAATGAAATGAGACAGAATGAGGCCCATTTATCTCTTGGACTGTTTTACTGGCTCAATATTTCATGATGCAGTTATATATGCTTATATAAAAAAATCACAAATCTGAGAGCAGAAAGAAGAAATAATCTTTGCTGAATAAAGTAGGCCTATTCATTTCTTCAAAACAAAATAATGCAATGTGCAACATGAGGAAGTCGTGTGACAACAATGTTGCAAATTACTTTTGAAAAATTGTTGCATAGGTGTCACATACTAATTTTACAAAGCAGTACGCAGTAGGTTTGTATTTCATTCCGAACATAACCCATGCTGCACACACAGACAGAGGTCAGTTCCTGAGACAGGGAGGTTCATGCTTTAACTTCCCTTGATTTGACTTTTAACCCTCACTGATTCACTCCACCCAGCACAAACCACAGGTTTCATACACAGAAGGCTGGTTTGCTGCTATACTTCCTGATGCATGTCTTTCTTTATTTTCCCATATTTAAGCTAGCTGCAATTTCAACTGATCTCAGAACAGTAAGCTAGATGGCTGCTTAACTTGACACTCTGTCTGCTCGCCGTTAATAGCCAACCTGTGCAATAATATAAATGCTGCAGCGTAATTTGCTAAATATTCCGCCCCCTCCTCCCCCTCATTGGAGAAAATCACGTTTATATGCAAATCTTCCCACAGAGCACCGTAGGTATGTGGGGGCGTGTTAGAACGAGTCGTTTTAGGTAGGTGTGGCTGACTCTTAACCTTTATAAAGAATATCTCTTTGGATTTGAGACTTTAGTCTTTGCAACTTTACAGATCTTCTTTATGCACCAATAGCTTGTAACACTCCAAAGAGAAAGGAAAAATTGAAATCGCATCATATGACCCCTTTAACTCTTTCACACGAAATTAGACTGTGATCTGTGATTGTGGGCAGATACTATTATAGTGCATGTTTGCAGATGTGTTATTATAGGTGAAGGTGGTGCATGATTGTAGTGTGCTTTTTGTAGAGGATGTTGCACTGTGACACCATGCACATGTTTGTTCAAGGAAGTCATAGTTAAAAAATGTGTTGGTTTGATGTGAACATGCCTCACGGTTTTGCCTCAGAGCTGACAGGTTAGCATAAATGTGTAGGCATGCATCTCATTTGTGTGTGTGTTGAGAAGAGGCGACAAGCTCCATGTATTAATTTCACCAAGACCTAAAAAAACGCCTTGACACAAATCCACTCACTTTATGGAGAAGAATAGCTGAAAGATATCACACAGCATCTAAGCTGATCCCTAAAGCGAATGACTCTTTTTAATGCCGCTTCAAAAACATCCTGCCTCTCACTTTCTCTGTTATCTTTTCTCCGCCAACATTTCATTGAATATCTTGTTGAAAAACGATACCATAATTTCTTCACGAAAGAGAACTCAGAGCTGAATCAAAACACAAGACTCTCTACTCAGAAATTACTGTCTGTTTGTGACTAGTTCATGGAAATACCATCAGATTTTACACTGCCGTTCGAACAGGATCTGTTCCCACAATAATTAGATATTCTCAACGAAGCATGGAGTGTCATTAATTAGGTCAAGAATTACCATGTCCTACATCAGACCTTTGTGTGGTCCTTACAATCTTTGTGTACAATATTATAGCAAACAAACAAATAACTGTATGTTTGGTCAGAGAATGTAAATTTAATGTTAGTAAGAAACAGAGCATAGAGTCTTTGCATCTGATTCTGATAAAAAATACTGCATTATGAAATATTAATATTACTTTCTATTTTAATATATTGTTAGATGTAATTTACCAGTCTCCAGTGTCACATGATCTTTCAGAATTCATTCTAATATGCTGATTTGGCGCTCAAAAATCATTTATTATAATTGACATTGTATATATACAATATATACTGTATATATATATATATATATATATATATATACACACATATATAGACACATATATA